TGCCGCCCGGCTGCTGCTACGGCTCGCCATTCGGAAAATGTCCACACCTGCCGTTGTTGCCACAAACCACTCGGTCACGCCTATTGCTGATCCCTTGATTGTTTGGACCCTGGCCAGAAAGGAGATGTGTGCTCTATGTATTAATTTTGTCTTGGATTGGATTTTAGGTTTTATTCCCGGCTCTTGTGGCAATGATTCCCAGCCGGATTAGCATTTGTGAAAAACGCTCGCTCTCTTGCAAAAGCCGTGCCGTTACTCCGTATTATAGAAGCAATTTGCCAGGTAGAGCTGTCCACTTCTCTGACCGACAGAACATCGGCGTCTTTTGGTCGCGTGGTTGTGCGTGGGCCCCGAGGTATTTCTTGATGCACCCTGTCTCTCCGTGTGCATGTACTGTACAATGTACATGCACAGGAGATATCCCTTTCAAGACCATTTCATAACGTCCATATGGGGTAAAGTGGTCCTCGGTTTCCTTGTAATGCCCCGTCATTCGAAGACCCGTACCCATTGGCGTCTCAGCCTCTCCGTAGTGACATTACAGAAACAGAGAATAAAAAGGGCTTCTCTGCTCCGTAACTAGCAAATGCAGGGCCCTTCCGGGCTGTACCCGTGCGCTCGAACAATTTGTTTCCATATCAACCTCTATTTGTATACCCAACAGCAGTCGATTCTTGTGCCTCGGTTGGCAGTGGTATGTCCAGCTACGAGCCTGTCCATCCAGCCTCACATAGCAGTTGGAACATGAGAGGCGGCTGGCGGTACACTCTCGACGGGTGCTAAGTCTTGCATGATTGCATTGACAGTGTATGATTCGCGGCGATCTTACTCTCATTCGCCTCAGTCGACCGTGCACGCACAGCTATTCCTAAGGGAGGCTTGCACCTCCGACCGAAATTAGTATGTACTAGTTGATTTCTGTGCTGAAGACTTCAGCGTGTCATTCAAGTTATGCAACCCTTAATATGCCGCGTCACAGCGCAATCCATCATTCATGTCATGAGCAAGGGACTCCCTAGCTTCTCAACAGAGGAATTTGCTATGCAGAATTTAGGTCGTATCGATCGCAAGAAGTCAAACTAAAGCTACCGCCAATTTTGCTGCAAGTGATGACAAACAATATGGGGTATTTCATCTTCTCAACTTGGATTGGCAGTGCGTACCAGTGCCAGGTGTAGGATCACAATTTTGATGTGACCTGGCTACATCGAATTAGAGCTGTACCTATTGGCAGAATTTCTAAACTTGTTATTTTCAATCCGTGACCAAGCACATGAGAAACTGCATTGGGGTGGGTTACAAGTAACTCATACCACTGTTGGGCAGGGAATTGGGGCAAGTCGCCTGCTCTGCGGAAAGGCTTGATGCAGTTTCCAGATCGTCAAGATGACACAAAAAATTCCCAAATCCTGATACAGGGAGAAACATGGGAGATGGGAAAAGCAGGGTTCGCATTGGTTCCAGTAGCTCGAATCACGCAGTTAGCTACGCGTAAAATCATACACCCCAGGATCCAGAAAAGAAGGGATGGAGTAGTAGTGCGACTTGGGGTTGCGGTATTTGAATCTTAATGCAAAGCCATTTTTTGTCAGTCAGGTGCCCTTTGGCAAGAATGATATAAACCGGAAGGAACCATGGAGCACATCTCAATCGCGGATGCCAAGGTGGTCGATGCCTGATCATAGTACAGTATGTGATCAATCCCGTGACTCTGGTGCAGAGGCCCATAACATGTGTAGATGAACCAGCTCGATCTCTCCATCTCTGTAAAGTACCCAGACATGCTTCATGGGAGCTAAATCACGTACTATCAGAGAATAAGACAAGGCTCTGACAGTTCGCAAGTGGCCCCCTTACCTTGATGTTTAAATTAATGAGTACGGTACCTACCGCCAAATAATCTGCTGCTTGGAAAATCAACTGCTGGCGTAAGTCAAGATAACGCGATGAGAGGGGAAAAGTAACGCTGACGCTCTCTTTAGAAACCGTCCTCACCGTCCTCACATTTGCGCAGGTGCTTGAGAAAAAGTTACCTAAGCACTATAATTTCGTTGAATGGTTCTCCTCGGGGCATCATTCTATATTTGAGTTCCAATATGGCGCATGAATACTCGTCCTCTACCTACACGAAGGCATGAAATGAAGTATTGGTTCTTCTGTAAAAGCCAGGAACGGTTCTGATCTCCCGGTTGTCTCAGCCGAAAACACTCCATCTTGGCCTATTTTCAGGATCCTGTTTCCTTTACCTCACAACTGTTAAAATAGCTACGGAGCATGAAGATCATCTGTCTTCATATTAGCCGGTGTGGCAGGTATGGAACAAAACGTCTGCAGACCACTCTGTTTCCTCACGACTACCGCGCATTGAATAGTAGTGGCATGGGTCTGGAGGGTTCCACCATCCGTACTGGCGGCTCGATTGAAACTTGGTGGCTTAATAGAACGGTTGTCGTGAGTAACCCGTTACCCCATACACATGTCCCCAGCAATAATGAACGCGCTATTGACATGAGTAATTGGGTCGCGTCACAGACGGAGCACTCAGCAAGTGGAAGACATAATGCACGACTCGTCATGTTTGGTGTCACCTTGTCCGATCAGGCCAGCATCTCCATCAACTTCCCCGTGGATTCAGTGGACCATGCAATGCAGGACAGACATATCGTAATTTCACGCGCTCATAATTTTGATGAGGCTCCAGTTTCGGTCCAGCCTAGCCACAAGAGAGCACTGTCAACAAACAGATAGTCCACGTATTCTCCCTGCCGCTATTGCCGACGAGCGTGGCTCTAGGACTGAAAACAACAAAACCTGCCGGTAACTGATGATGCAAGTCAGCGCTCTAGTTGATGCTCATTCTAGAATGAGAAAAGCCCTGCCCTTACTTTTCCGATATGCCGTGATCTCCTTGCAAGGGTACGAGATAAGGTGGACCGCGCCGCACAGGTACGTTTTGTTAAACACTCACGGACCTGGTAGAGAATGTCCCCAGGAGACAGCCAAGGGCTTCATACATTTCTAACAAAGTCATCCGAGCGCTACATTCAGTGAGCGTTGAAACGCCATGGCCGTGCCACATATATCGAAGAAGAAAAATAGGATGCTAATACTCCCGTGGCCGGCATGTCAAGTCCAGTCACCAGGTCGCTCGAGTGGTACCTGGATTTGCTACGGAGTAATTGTCATGGTTTCATTTTTCGTTTCATCCAGTTTCACGACGCAGCCCTACCGAATTATGTTTGAATTTTTCCTCCAACACTCGCTACCGGATCGCCAATTGATCCAGATGCAGAGAGGCGTCTCCGAAATAAAATGGCCCCGGTTTGTGCTTCCAGTCTGTGAAAACACAAACACTACTAGTATGAGGCGGGAATTGTTGCCGGCAAGGCTGGGAAACGAGGTGCTTTCGTTGAATGGACCAAATTACTGCTTATTCCCGTCCTTGTAACTTGCACCCCCTTCCGAAACGGTATGTAATGGGACGAGATGAACCGGCCGAGCTGGTTGCGGTCAATCGGTCAGAATAATCACCGACCAAAGGCGAGGCCCGTGGATTCCGCAGTTCCCGTTGTCTCTGGTTGGTGCAACCGGCTCGTGTGGCCGGACTTTTTGGGGCCTCTTTTTAAGATTATTCTCGTTACCCGGTTTACGGATGGATAGACCGGAGATTCCCATGTCTCTTTCGGGCACCAGGTACGGAGCACGATTCGAACAACATGTGCCTGACAAAACGCCATTCCCGACCGTTGTAGCCGCTCGATCCGCTCTGCTGTACGACCGATACGTGGCCGAGGATTGTCCACCGGAACCGGAGGCAGCGCCAAAGCTCAAGATTTTAAAGCAAGGGAGGCACAAACAATGACGTGTGTTTTCAAGTCTGATATTACATACGGAGTACTAGTAGTACCATCATCAACATGGCACTGCATTCATCAGGGCACTGCGGGTCCAATCGCGACTGCATGTTTTCCATGCCAGACATTGTCGCAGACCGATGGGGGATCTCGTGGCAAGTGCCGCGTTCGAAGTTGTATTTCTAGATGGCATGCAGCCGTTAACTATCAGGTGTGAGTTACTCCAGATATCCATGGCTGGCAGACGTTAGATGGGCAGCAAGCAAATGCTTCCCAGAGTCTAAGATGCACGTAAACGTACCGACACCCCAACTCCTTTCTGCTATCAGTCCTCTACCAAAGTTAAAGGTAGCGACCACGGGTCCGGGACAGTTACAGGGTACGCAATGGAGAGTAAATTAGCTCACTAGTCAATTTGTGAAGCACTAAGGAAATGCAAGCTTGGTTAAATGCCAGAGCGCATAAGCATAACGCCGTGTAGACAACAGACGACAATGGTCATATAGGGTAGTCACGGATTTTAAAAAACCCCACGGGGAGAATTCATGCCAGTGTCATGATTATTTTGCGGCATGGCCCTGGCCAATACCATGATGTTTTCACATGACGCACGAAATAAGTGGCTGTCTTTCAGTCTAGCATGGTCACAAAAGGAACCGCATATGTTAGTTAATAAGGAGCGTCGTTTGGCTCGTGGATATATGAGTCGCGATTGTACGCCGAGTAGCCTCGGACACCATGAGACAACCAGTAGAAAGGATAATATTGAGCACTAGTTCAGCTCGAATGATAACCCAAGCCACTGCACGTGTTTCGACCTACGAAGTCGCAACATGTAACAACGGCAAGCATCAACACCCACGAGCAGGCTACATAACATTCACTGCAGAGCCGTAGGAAAAGTTATGAAAAAGCGTGTCTAATCGCTATCATGGCCCTTGGAGACACCGAAAACGACCAACCCCCTAACCAATTAATACACCCCACACATTTCCCCAAGCAAAAAAAGGGCAACGCTCGCAGCTCCGACTGCTCATTAAGACTCCCAACACTCCATGTATACAATACAGTTCCATCCGCCCCATACCACCAATGTCCCTGGGTATCAAGATCTGACGACACACAAAATACTGCGACAACGCCTAATTAGCGTCCACTCGGGTCGGAGAATTCATACCCTGAAGGGAAATTTGGCATTCCATTAGGCAGGGTTCCAATTCCAAACGGGAACCCAGAGGCCATGCCTTGGCCGCCGTTTCCTTGATCACGGCCACGACGGCCGCCTCTACCCGTGTCGTCCTCGCGGTTTCTCGTAGATTTGGGTCCGTTGCTGCCGCCCTTGTCGGTTTGCATGCGACGGCTAATAGCCTTGGATGAGACGCCTGCGCCGATTTCGATGTCGGGCTCTTCGACAGAGAGACCAGACTCAATGGGGCGACCACCGCTGCCACCGTAGGGGGCAGTCAATATCCATTTACGATCCGCCTCAGTGAGCTTATGGATAGGGATGACGCTGATGCCAGTCGCGTAATCGCTGCAGTCCCTGGGACCAAAACCAACACCCCAACGGGTCTGCAAGCCCACAGTCAGCATGGTCAAATTCACAAAAGAAAGAAAGAAAAAAAAGAACAAAGACAAAAAATACGACGATGTGAAGTCCGACTTACCCTTAGTGGAAGTTCGCTACTGCGACTATCTTCCATGCTTTCTTTGGCGGCGGCAGCGTCCTTGCGGGTCAACATTTTGACGAATGCATGTCGCTTGTCCTTGTTGACGATACAAGTTTGAACAGTGCCAAACTGGCTGAATACCCGTCGAAGCTCAGCCTCAGAGCATCTACGTACAGTACATTAGATTATGGTTCTGCAGCTTTTTGGAATCACCGGGCTTGAGTCAATGGAACACTTACGTTACACCACCCACGAAAAGGGTTCGGCTGTAGACTCTAATGTGACCGGATGGTACACTGGAATCATAGTCGACCCATCGTTCAACATGGGGAAGACTGTCGGGAGGAGTGGGACTTCGGCCACGGCGACCTGGAGGGCTACGTTGACGGTAGTCGTTTCCTCCACGACCATTGCGGTCCCGATCGTGACGACCGCTTGGGGGAGAGTTACGCCCATGACCTCGTCCGCCACGAGGGGAGTCACGAGAACCCCAGCCTCGATCAGGAGACCTAGACCTGGATCGGCCACGATATCTGGGCGACCTGATGCCGTCCTCGTATCCCCGGTCACGCCCATCGCCAGATACGGTAGCAGGGCCACCCCAAGGTTGTTGACCGCTGGTGGAAAAAGTTCCTTGTGCCGCTGGAACAGGTGGCTGGAAGCCGGTATGGGGAGCCGCAGCACTGTTGCCGGCAGCGTTATTGCTGTTTGTTGTCATGCTCTGGATCAGAGAAGGAATTTTATCAAATGGAACACCTTGGTCTGCGAGGGCTTTGATCAACATAATCTGATGCTGCACAGCCGGATCTAAGGCTCCGCCGGCAACACCAGGAGCCGCTGGGTTTGCAGCAGCATAAGGATTGGGAGGATTACTCGCGTTGTTAGGCAACGCTGGGCTTTGGCCAGCCATCTGAGGAAGTGAGAATGGAAGGGACGGCATGGTTACGGGCTGTGATGTCGGGGGATAAGATGGCTGTGCTTGATGTTGCGGTTGCGGTATCGTCGAGGACGACACAGGCTGCGGAAGGGCTGAAGGCGGTATGCTATATGATGCTGACGCTACTGGTGCTGGCGGGTTAGAAGCATTATTGTTGGCACTACCGGGAGCTGAACTCTGCCTCGCCATATTCGCAAGGGCTTCCAAAATAGAAGATCCATTTGGAGCTGGCGCAGCTGAGGCGGGAATGTGACTTTGCAAAGCAGCCAAGGCTGACGCTGGTGGGCTGCCGGGGGGAGTTGTCGAGGTTTCTGAGAGAAGCATATCTTGTTAGTAACTAGGTGTTGTATGGTCACTTCGTGTATCGGCGAGACCAGGATTGATCGAAGCCGCACGACGGACACTTCTGGACAAGAGCGTCGAATATTGCAGGGGAAAAACATACTAGACGAGGGAGCGGTCAATTTCTCCTTGAACGACTCAATCATCTGGGTGGGGAAGGTCTGGCCCTTCTCCCAGATGTCTAAGAGCTTCTTAATTTTCTCCTACAAGGTGAGTGTACGGTAAGCTACTGTTCAGGTCGCGATTCTTCTTGATGGATGATGCACTGCTTCGATGGCCGAGGTGAATGTGACAATGCCTGTGCCTGCTAAAAGAGCAGCGCAGTCTCATTTCTAGCTGTGGTGTTTTCTTGGCAACAGCCTGAGCATTGTCACAACCCAACAACCGTCGTAGTATTCATAAAGAGAGGCGCGGGGGGAGTTTTCTCGGTGAAGGTCTTTTTTGCAGACTCGAAAATTTGCGTACCTTTTGTTCTTCTGGGGCGGTTTGGAGAATGTCATTCATCAATACGGGCATCAGTTCGGTCACTCGGTGTACCCCGGCGGCATATGTACCGTCTGGCGCAGAGCTGTTTACTGGTTGTCCTTGAGCTTTTGCTTGCTCGAGCCATTTTCGGGTTACAGAGTCTACTACGTAGAGAACCCCCAACTTGTGTGTTCCAGGCGCCTTTTTGAAGTGTGTATAGATCTTCTGAATAAGTACGGATTCAGACTGTGCCGCTTTGTGGTTAGTATCTCATGAGGGGAAAACGGAAATGACGAACAACTAGCATTAGGTGATGGAATGGTAATACCTGTATGTTGGCGACGCAGAGTGATGTTAGACTAGTGATACGAGATCCAGAAACACCGGGCGGCTTCAAATTCAGCATGGCCTGAAGGCCGGCTTCCAAATCTGTTACTGCGGACGCCATAATTTTTGCACGTTCGCGATGCAGAGTTGCGCGAGAACCACTGTCTAGAGGATTTCGAAAGTAAAGGGCAGTGATGCGGTCGAGCGCCGCCACTGGGAAGGAAAAGGAAGCTAATCACCTCTCCTGTCAACTCTTCTCTCTTTTGATCGGAATGCAATGACGAGCAGATACACGACAAGTCCCTATTTCTATCGGATGGTTTGACGCCTGGTTGTTCTCTTTTCGTTTACAGAAAGTTGAGAGGCCAATATCAACGAAACGAAGAGTTTACAAGGCTCGAGATACTGTACGACCAGGCGGAAACGTGTCGGGTGTACGTGGTGGACTTGGTATTAAGAGACAGAGTACGCGACGACCTCCTTATAGTGACGAAAAGAAGAGGTGCACCACAGATTATCAAAATCGTCTTCTACTGTGATGAAAAGAAGGCGCGACGTGGTCACAGATGGCTGGTCAACAAGGTAGAGGAGAGGGACCCTTTTTGCTTAGTACGACAATCAAGCCAGATGGTGGCGAAAAGAAAAAAACAGCAGATAGCGAACAACGGCGGAGAAGAAGGCGTCAGGGCGTGAAGAACGCAGATATTCTGTCGGGGGTGAGAGTATCTGGATGATTTCGAGATCCGGCTGATAATGTCTTAGTCGCGAGGATGAAAATGGATGGAGGTGATAATGAAGGAGAGAAAATTCGATGCGGATGCGAAAGGAGGCACAGGACAGGGGAGGAGCATTTTTCTACCCAGCAGGCACTCAAAGCGGGAAGGGGCCAGTCAGGTGCGAGAAAAAAAATCCGAAAAAACGTGACTTGCAGGAGCAGCCAATGCACCGTGTGAGGACCTAAGCATTGGCAAGGTGGGTGGTACGTACCTGGAGCACAGAGTACGCCGTTCTCATGGTGCAAAGTTTGCATGGCTCTTGCTCTTGCTGGTTACCAGCCACAGCATTTGAACAGCCCCCGAAACGAAAACAGAGTTGGAACCACGGGTCAGATAGCGCCCTGGTGGGAGCGCCAATTGGTCGATGTCAACACTCCTACCTACCACTCCTGCTCCTGCTGTCTTGTAAACCCATTGCCTAGTTGACTTCAGCATCAATTGATGTGTTCAAAGCAACCAAGACCGGACTTGACTCCTTTCAATGCTGGCTTTTTTGTCTGCTAATGGCCGAACCAAGGTCTTGGGTCCAGTCTGTTCATCAGTCTTTGCAGAAAGTTAGTCATCCCACAATCCGGAATCCCTTCTCCTTTGTTCATGGCATTCTCACATTCACGGCACTGGGAGAGGTCACAGACCTCCTAGATGAAAAAGAAAAGAAAAGGGAACCCGAGTAATGTAAGAACAAGCATGTGTTGCCCGACATATGCACAGTCACTCATTGTCATTGATGGCGTCACGGCCTTTACTCCTCCTTGTACTCCATACTCGGAGCCTGCAATAGGATTTGGTTATTCAAGTCTGGTTCGTTCTTAGCCGCGTCGGCGAGGATTTCGCTTCTACATAATCGCGTCCGGGTCAGGTGGGTTCCAGCATGACGCTGTGTCCACGTTGGTTCAGGAAAAAAAAATAAACTTCATCGTCGTTCATTCTTGTTTAATTTCCACACCACCATCCCTCTTCATTTTTCCGCCGCATAACATCACGGCATCAGGTGTCACGATTGGCAGCTATGGATCGCATCGAAGTGGTGCTAAGCTGCTTGTATAGATGGATGGGTTTCACGCATTCAAGATGGTCATCAAGATGTTTATCTTCGAGCCTTTTCTCTACCTACAACCATGATATATCTGTCAAGCGGCTAGCACTAAGTTTATTCCATTGACCAGACGACCTGCTTAAGGGCGGAAAGCTGGTTCTCCCACCACTTAGCTTGGGCCTTGGTATCTTTAGGTGACCCTCGTGCTATGGCTGGCGCATTCTACCATGATGCAATATCAACGAAAAGTTGTTGACTCGATGTCATGGCAGTCTGTGTCTCAATTTTGGCTTTCAGTACGCACCACCAGACCCTACGGCACAGGCCTTGTCAGCCAATGGAAGGTATGCCAGGATTTCAACATTGAATGGAATACAAGCAGCTGCTTGTCCTGGCGCGTCTTTTGACTCCACGGCCTGCTCTGATGTAAACGTAGCGTTCAACCCCCCGCAGCTTCTGAGAAGACGACTCAATAGAAATAAAGACGATGTTTCAGCTATTACATGAATGAATACAGAGACACGAATAAGGTGACAGAAGTAAAGATCAGGTTATACGTATCATGTGCCAACTACGCACTATCAATCTAGTGGTGCAACATGTGTTCGAGAAGGCCTAGTTTTGATAGACTCGGCTGTCCCCGCGGCTAACCGACAACTAATTTGGTTGCGGCTCACCCTGTATAGGGCTAAAATAGTACGCACATATGTACGTTGTTGGCTAGCGCTGCAACATGACGGAGTACGGAGTAAATGCCGGGCATAAGGAGTGTGTTCCATACTCCATGCAAATGAAGCAAAGGGGCCTGGGAAGCGAAATTGGCCAAGCAAGACAAGGTGAGGGTGGTCCGCTCACTGACGGAACATAATTCCGTATGCCTTCGAACCATCCCAACAAAGAACTGAACTGAACCCCCTGGCTTTTCATCGTCGATTGTTTGGCAGAAGTTCGTTGCCCGCGGTTTGTTGAGCCGTGAACAGCTGGGTATTATTCGACTTGATACGCAACCATTCTGTCGCCGGGGCAGGACCGGGCCTTTGCGGAAAGCCGCCCATGCACAGCTCCACACTATTCGAAGTCAACTTTGGCCGACGACTCCAACGTCTCCAGCTCCGGGTGACTGCCTTTTCCCGAGGCACCTCCAAGTTGGTGTGGGTCGAGGAACCTGGAACGGTTGATGCACCGGCAGTGTGCGCGGGAGTGGCACATGCTGCAGAAGTGCATGGTTGGCTTCGGTCGTTTTATACACGGCGGACCACGATATTGTGCTGTCGAACAAACCACGGTTAGTTACCAGTCGACGTGTTATGGAGTGGGAGAGGGTACGTTGCAGCGGCTGGCCCGTAACAAACTCGCATGGACAGTTACTCCGTCACATCTGGTACGCCTAGGGGCTTGTAGTCATGAGTGCGCCACTATGTATGTCGCCGGGCATTTATCTGGCCTGGGGCCTTCCACTTCGGATCCGTCATCAGCCCTTCAGTTGGTGTGACGTATTGACCCTGCTGTTGGAGTAGCCTGTGGTCGGGGTGGTCAGCCGTCGTGTGCCCAGGGCAACTGGTTCTCGTGCCCAGGTGCAGCGATAAGCGGCGCCCCGCCAGTGGGCCCGATGGCGTCTGGTCGGAATCACGGAGCTGTTGGGGCAGACGTAGTAGGTACATGTTCGTAGTAGTAGTAGTACTACTCGGTACGCAGGGAAGGAACCCCAAAGCTACTTCGACCAGGGCTCCGTTCCCCCGAACCAACGGCAATACCAAGGTGCAGGGCGTGGTACGCAGTGTCGAGTTGGGAGGCCATCAACGGGGGTTGATCTCTAGAGCTGGCAAGAGAAAAGACACTGCCGGCGCTGCGTGCTGTGTTGGCAATGTCGCCGGTTGCGGGCGTTGGGGCCGATCGGGAAACACCAGACATTGATGGAAGCTCAAGCTTGAGATGAACGCATGTACATTACCCCGAAGCTGGACAAGGTGAGCGTTGCCTCTCCGCCGGGCTTTCGAAGTGACGGCGGCGTCTGCAGCCACCCCATGCCAGACGTCAGTGTTCGATTGGTGGCGTCCAAGACCCAGCACTTGACCAGACCCAACGTGGACGTGGACGCAAGGGCCCGCGCTCTCCGAGGTGCCAGCCAGGGATCGCTGGCCCATGCTAGTGCTCCGTGTAGTACTCCGTACGCAGCAACAATTTTTTTCTTTCTCTCGCTGCTCTGCTGTCCTGTCCTGCCGAGACACCCAACGCGACAGAACCTCCGTACCTAGGTAATTAAATTAGCCTTGAGACGCCAGGCACTCATCCCGCGGCCTTTTCCCTTCCGTTGGATCCATACCCTTAATAATTATCCGTTTCTCCTTCCTCTCTGCTCTTTCGTCCTTCCTCCTCCTCTTTACCCACATCCATTTCCCACAGCCGTTATACAATGGCCTCTGTTTCTCGCCTTAGCAGCTCTGCCCTCCGGGCCTCGCTTAAGTCCCAAGCCTTCAATGGCCGGACCGTAGCCTTCAATGGCGCCCGTTACTACTCGGCGAAGACCCAGGTATGCTTGATTGATCAGAGATGGCGCTGTTGTAGATTTCGCGTACACTAACACGACGCACCCACCAGACTCTCAAAGAACGTTTCGCCGAACTCCTCCCTGAGAAGATTGAGCAGATCAAGGCTCTGCGAAAGTAAGGACCGACCCTGTCGACCACGTCTCCGCGCCCCTAAGTCATTAGCCTTGACTTCTCCAGAGACTCGAGCGAGCTGGATACAGAGACGTATGGCATGCGCCTAGCAATTGCTAACACAAGATTCCTCTAGGGAGCATGGTTCCAAGGTCGTTGACAAGGTCACTCTTGACCAGGTCTATGGTGGTGCCCGTGGCATCAAGGCCCTCGTCTGGGAGGGTTCCGTCCTTGACTCTGAGGAGGGTATTCGGTTCCGCGGCAAGACTATCCCCGAGTGCCAGGAGCTTCTGCCCAAGGCTCCCGGTGGCAAGGAGCCGCTTCCTGAAGGTAAGTTTATCGCTGCGGATACAATGAGCTTTGACCGGAAAATGTAATGTCTGACAATGGATGCGCAGGTCTTTTCTGGCTTCTCCTGACTGGTGAGGTCCCTACCGAGCAGCAGGTCCGCGACCTCTCTGCTGAGTGGGCTGCCCGTTCCGACATCCCCAAGTTTGTCGAGGAGCTGATCGATCACTGCCCTACCGACCTTCATCCCATGGCTCAGTTCTCTCTGGCTGTCACCGCTCTCGAGCACACCTCTTCTTTCGCCAAGGCGTATGCCAAGGGTGTCAACAAGAAGGAGTACTGGGGCCACACTTTTGAGGACTCCATGGACCTCATTGCCAAGCTGCCCAATATTGCTTCTCGCATCTACCAGAACGTCTTCAAGGGTGGCAAGGTTGCCCCCATCCAGAAAGACAAGGATTACTCCTTCAACTTTGCCAACCAGCTGGGCTTCGGTAACAATAAAGACTTCGTTGAGCTGCTCCGTCTCTACCTGACCATCCACACTGACCACGAAGGTGGCAATGTCTCTGCCCATACCACTCACCTGGTCGGCTCGGCCCTCAGCTCACCTTTCCTCTCTCTTGCCGCCGGTCTCAACGGTCTTGCCGGCCCCCTGCACGGCCTGGCTAACCAGGAGGTGCTTCTCTGGCTCACTGAGATGAAGAAGGTTGTTGGTGATGATCTCTCTGACAAGAACATCACTGACTACCTGTGGTCTACCCTCAATTCTGGTCGCGTTGTTCCTGGCTACGGCCACGCTGTTCTCCGCAAGACTGACCCCCGATACATGGCTCAGCGCGAGTTTGGTCTCGGTACGTAATGTTCACACGCGCCTTTGAGTCTCAAGATATAAAAGCTCTTTTTTTTTTCCAAGTATAGAAGCTAATTCTTCTACAGCCAAGATGCCTGAGGACCCCATGTTCAAGCTTGTCAGCCAGGTCTACAAGATTGCTCCTGGTGTCCTGACCGAGCACGGCAAGACCAAGAACCCTTACCCCAATGTCGACGCCCACTCTGGTGTTCTTCTGCAGCACTACGGTCTTACGGAAGCTAGCTACTACACCGTGCTGTTTGGTGTTTCTCGCGCCATCGGTGTTCTGCCCCAGCTGATCATCGACCGCGCTGTTGGTTCTCCCATTGAGCGCCCCAAGTCGTTCTCCACCGACAAGTGGGTTGAGATTGTCAAGAAGCTGTAAAATGCCTTGCGCGGCACAATGAATGATAGCTGGAGGAGTTCAGAGCAGGCTTAAAAGGGAGATACGAGTCGACGGTGTTAGACGGAGCCTTTGTTTGATTTGACCAGGGCACGGCAGCGTGTTGGAGGGAACAAAATTGAGGGGAGTGATAGACGGGCTGAGGTTTCTCGGCAGATACCAAACCCCACTGGCGCTAGACTTATTTGTACACTATGATTGGGACAGTTTATAGAAATAATGAGATAGAGATGCCTTTGATGGCAACTTGTGCAGCTCCAAGTGGTTATGATGTGCAACTCCAGATGCAGATGCGCCGAAGAGCCGAGGCGACAGGGTTGAGCTAAGCTGCGAAGTACTAGCGAGAGACAAGACGCGCCCCAGAATCATGACTACGTGCATTTGTAGACTTGCGCTGCATCGCGGACGAGCCTGGAGAATACGCGCCTGTATCACTTCCCATTGATGGGCTCATCCTTTGCGGACGACGGTTCCAGAGCACGGAGTACAAAGTAGGGGCCCTACAATTCTTACGCCTGTAGAGAACAGCCCTGCGCTCTTGGCATAGAAGAGGTGCACAGATACGAGCCAATTGCACAAGGGCAGCACAGATGCAATGGTGCTCACCATTCGCGACACACGTGGGGGTTCTGGGATCGAGACTGGAAAAGTTGACGTTGACAGTAGCACAACAGTGCCTCGCAGCTTTTCCTCAACAATCGAGTGGTTGAGACATTGGGGAGCCCCATGGCTGGTACAAGAGGGACCCACAGATGCACCTGGACGTTCAACCCTGAACGGAGTGGCTGAATTCAGGCCTGGGGGTTGAACAGCGTTGAGGGTTGATGGCTAATGGCAGTGATGTGTTGTTGGGATGACTGCAATGGAATTGGTGGAGGAAGGGGGGCTTGCGCATTGCGTCGCAGTCATTATTAAAGAGCAGAATGCATTTTTTTTTTTTTTTTTTAAGATCGAATTGGGAGCTAGGAGAGAGAGGTGCGGACGGGAGTGGCTGCTGGCGGATAAATTCAATTGGAGAGGAAGACCATTGTACGGAGGAGCAATAATGTACGAAGTACGGGGTACGTGTGAGTGTCCTCCCAGGTGCCGTCTTGTTGCGTACTGCTGACCCGTACCGTGTACTTGCTCCCTGGCCTCAGTCAACAAAAATCACTATCCGAGTTCGGATCTGACAAGGTCGCCTGTTCCTCTGTTATCCTACTCGTCCTCCGCATATGGTCTTGGATCATCTTCCCCCTTTTCTTGCATTGCCACATTGCTGTCTGGTCATTCCATGACACTCTTCTCTTCGTCGCACTCGAAACCCCCCCTTTCCCCCTTCCGTTGCGTCCAACAAGACACGGGCCGATAAGGTTTCTCTTCTTGGAAGAACATAGTAGTACTACTTAAGTAAGCAGGCACAGTAATGGATCAAGAATGGATCCCTGTCTCGACTCTGGGCCACGGCCATCTCTGCTAACTTGTGCCTGGCCAGAAACACGTGCAATCCAGATCTCTCTCGCTCTCCGGGCATTCACGGACCTGCCACCAGCCGCCCACGCGCCAACAGCCTCGGTCATCCCAATCTTTCCAGCGTCGCCTTCCCCATCTCACAATCCACTTGGGCGCATCTCACGTCCATCTACACCCTCCATCCAATCCCGCTGTACGGTCTTCGGAGGTGCATCCTCCACTTTTTGCCTTGTCTAGACATTGACTTTGCCCGGGCCTCGTTCGGTCAGAAGCAACAGGAGCAGCATCAGCCGCAGCCGCAGCCGTAACAGCTTGAATTTATATTCCGTCTGACTCAGCACAACCACCAACTCGCGCTTCTCCGTCTCTCTCCACCTATCTACTACCTACCCGCTCTCCAACCTCCTCTTCGCGAAGAAGCACCCTATTCCCTTGGTCAGGGCCCCTTTGAATCAAACAAAACTCCCAGAGCCATGGTCGCGAGCGCTACTCTTCCCGCCCCCATTGGGGAGCCCCAGAAGTTGGAGAAGAAACCCATCAAGTTCTCCAACTTGCTCCTCGGTGCCGGTCTCAACATGTTCGAGGTCACCACCCTCGGTCAGCCTCTCGAGGTCGTCAAGACCACCATGGCTGCCAACCGTGGTGACAGCTTCGCCACGGCTTTGGGACGTATTTGGGCCCGCGGTGGTCCTTTTGGCTGTATGTTTGTTCCTTTGTTCCTCTTCTCTACTCTGTTCTGCCCCTTTCGGGACCCAACATCGATGCCCTCGTCCATTCCCCCATGCACTCGCCGAGTCACATGCTAACCCGGCCATTTCTCTGCGCAACATAGTCTACCAAGGTCTCATCCCCTGGGCTTGGATCGAAGCCTCAACCAAGGGCGCCGTTCTTCTCTTCGTCGCCTCCGAGGCCGAGTATTATGCTCGCGCTGCTGGCGCCTCCGAGTTCGGCGGTGGCATCCTCGGCGGCATCACTGGTGGTGTTGCCCAGGCCTATGCCACCATGGGTTTCTGCACCTGCATGAAGACGGTCGAGATCACCAAGCACAAGATGGCGGCTGCCGGCGTCAAGCCGCAGTCTACGTTCCAGACCTTCATGGACATCTACCGCAAGGAAGGTATCCGGGGTATCAACAAGGGTGTCAACGCCGTCGCCATCCGTCAAATGACCAACTGGGGCTCCCGCTTCGGCCTCAGCCGTCTGGCCGAGACCTGGATTCGTTCCGCCACTGGCAAGTCGGAGAAGGATAAGCTGTCCGCCATGGAGAAGGTTATTGCCTCTGGTCTCGGTGGTGGTCTCAGCGCCTGGAACCAGCCCATTGAGGTCATCCGCGTCGAGATGCAGAGCAAAAAGGAGGATCCTAACCGACCCAAGAAGATGACTGTCGGCAACACTTTCCGATACATTTACTCCAACAACGGCATCAAGGGCCTGTACCGCGGTGTCACTCCACGAATTGGTCTCGGTGTCTGGCAGACCATTTGCATGGTTGCCTTTGGTGACATGTGAGTTGTTTGCAATCTACAAATCCCTTGACTAGGCTTGTACTGACACCATGCAGGGCAAAGACTTATGTTGAAAAAGTGACCGGTGACTCGGTCTCAGCTAAGCATTAAGCGGCGTTAATTCAGGGCTTTTCATTATAATCATGAGAATCGTGCGACGCGGGTTTATTTCGCAACAGATTTCTATGGAGGTCAAATCAAGTTTATTTCTCTTACATTTTATGAAAATGCGTGAGGCAAAAGGGGGGTAAATGGTTGTGCTTGCTTTGTTCCAAACGGACAAGAATCTGTACGATCATGGACCTTGTAGTTAGAGTCTTTTATTTTTGTGTTTATTAGTTGTAGACGTGCCGTTGGGCGTATAAATAGACGGAATGGATGAACATTTTGTGTGAGTGACCATGGCTGAATCCATGTGATTCAGGCATACAAAGCACGAGGATCGTAAGCGCGCCACGTTTACTCTCAGATTTTGCTCATGTAGTGTAATGCACGGAGCAGCATTCATTACCCATAGCTATCTCTAAATCAAGGGGTATCAAGCCTATATAACTCCAGCTATATTTCAGTACAAGCACCAGTGGGCTAAACAAGATGGATGATGCAACAATCGGTTCGTGGAATCAATCGGTGTCCACAGGCGTCTCTTCGTACATAAACTCCCACCCTTCATCTCCATCCATGTTGAACCGGACTCCAAGATTGACCAACTGGCAAAAGGACCAGTTGTCTAGGGAACGCGAGTCAAAATCCTTGGCCACATTCTCATCATGAAGCGATTTTTCAACCCACGTTTGGACAGGAGGTCCTTTCAACCTGCGGATAGACCTTGTTTCAGGACCGAGACTGGCCTCCCTCGCTGCGCGTTGATTCCTCTCGAATTCGGGGAGCAAAGGGCCCTGCGGGTCAAAGTAGGCGTGGGCGTCGAGGCGAAAGAGTCCTGTGGAGGCGTACGCCGGGCCTTGGACGGCGCCGATGACTGGGTTTGGATGGAGGATGAGACTATTTGAAGACAGGTATCGGTCTCGCGAGTACTGAGCAATGGAAGCATCTGATGGAGTGGAAGCGGGGAAGGGGGAAGACGTCGTTGGAGGTTCGGGTTCTGGGTGGGGGATAAACGGCTTTGGACGGCGAACGCGGCGATTCGTGCCTGGGATTGTGAGGAAGTGCGAGTCCATCTCGTCTCGGTCATCTACGGAGAAGAGAAAGACGCGGCCTGTTGCGTCGCCAACGACGAGCTTGTTGTGGTTTGGGGAAAAGACGCCGCACGTTATGGGGCCGGGTCCCTCGAGGAGATTCCTTACAAACGGACGGCGCTTCCGTCGCACGTCCCACACTTTGACGACGCCATCACTTGAGCCTGTATAGAAGCGGTCTGGTGTTGTTCCCCAGGCGGTAAACTTGACACCTTCGTCTTCCTTTTCTCGGTCGCAGATGACGGCGCCTAGGGGTTCCCCGTGCTTGAGGATGTGGGCGGGTCGATCGCCCTGTGCCGTGTCCCAGATGTAGACACGTCCGTCTGTACAGGCAGCTGAGATATAGGAGTGGCACAGAGAATTGGGCATGATGGTAAGCTCATTGATATCAGAGGCATAGCAATCGAGTTTTTGATACTCGCTGTACGCGCCATCCTCGCGGTCCCTGTCCAGTTGAAAGATGTGGACATGTGTGCGTACGCCGTGCTCAACAATGAGTCCAGACGGCGAGGTAGCAACGATGAAAACTGGAAGGATGGGGTGCCACACGATTTCGAAAACATTGGCGGTTGTGACGGTCAGAACAGGAACTCGGCATCGTCGCTCGGCGTCCCAAAGTACAATCTCGCCACTGTGAAGCTTGTCCACTGGAATATCGGCATCGTCACCGGTGAAGCTGCGAGGGGAGTAGCCAATGGCCAGCAGATGGTGTGTTCCAGGTGTTTGCCCCCATTGCATGGTAGCAGGGCAATAAGCCCATTTGTCGGATCCATCAGCATCGGTTCGGGTGCAAGATATGGTGTAGTAATAACTGTCCTGTACGTTGTTCGGATCAACAGTATAAATGCGAATTGCTTGGGTAGGGACATCTGCAGCAGTAGCCACTCGCCCGGACCCGTCTTTGGCGGCGACAACGAAGTTGACGTTGCCTTGGTGGTGCCAAGTTGCCGTGGCCTGCATGGAAGTTCCGTCTTGAGCTACGCTCCACACCTTGACGGTTTTGTCAAAGCTCGAGGTGAAAGCTCGACCATTCATTTCGTCGTAGTCGGTCGACACGACGGACGAGTATAGCCATGGGTCTTGGCTCTGGCGCATAGCTTCCGTCGAGTTCTCTCCCTTTTCCACAAATGGCCGTGGTATTCGATGGTCCGGAAACGCTCGCAGCGTGCCTCTCTCTGTGGAGCAGAGTAGTAGATTTCCAGGCTTGTTGTACTGCTGGTTATGCGCATCCGAGTGTGCCGTGGTACCACATATAATATTACCGTCAGGCACCCAAGACATGGCGGAAATATCTCCCGCACAGTTGGTAAACTCGGCAACGAGTGACAGGCCGTCTTCATGGCATTTTTGAAACTCATTTTGGAAATTTTCATACCGTCTCATTCGGCCGAACCCAACGTTTCCCTCCATTTCCCGAGCCAAGAGCAAGGCTGGCAAGCGATTGGCACGTCGGTTCCTTGCTCTTCTCTCGGGGCTGACTTCTTCCAGGGACAGCACCCGTGAATTATCTGGCTGGCTGGCTTTGCCAGCACATAAATCAGAGCACAAGTTGTAAATATCTTGCTGTGTTCGTCCGCTTATCGAGTCCCCGATAATTCGGGGAACATTATAATGTCGTAATATCTGCTCTAGACCTTCCCTCGTCCTCGGAATGTGCTGTGAAAGGTGCTGTCCCACAATTTTCATAATTTCTGCAATCTCAAGCGAGGAAAAGTCGGCATGATATACTGCGGGAAGCTGCACCCTGTGACGTGCTACATTGACAGGACGATTCACGCCTAGGGTAATATCTTGACGGGCCGAATAATGCAAGTACGGCCGTCGCTGCAGCTGTAACCACGTGCTGGCAGTTGGCAAGCCGTCACTTGACTTCGGTACGACATATTGTCGTCGAACTCTCGGCCTAGGAACCCGTGTTGGGCCTGTGTCGGGTTTTGAAGTTGGTTCAGCGGACTCGAGACGCTGGAAAGCCCTCTGCTCCGCTCGCAGTGTGAGTTTGGGTCTGACCAGTGCTGACGATGGGGCTTCTTCCTTGATCGGTTGTGGTTGCGGTCTTCTGTATTGCTAAGACAATGTCAGTGGCTGACCTGGACGCCGCATATATGGCTCCAATAAACCTACAGTAAGACCTGCCAGTTGCTGGACAGCCTGGGTAGCCAGTCCCTCAATATCCGCTCTATCCTCTGCAGTAAGCAGTCCATTGCTCAGCTGGACCTTTTCTCGAAATCTTGCGCTCTTAAGCAAAGTAGTGACAGCCTACGGGCACTTTGTTAGACCGTTTTTTTTTTCTCACCATGGAAATTCTTCTCCAGCAAGCAACGTCCCCCCATAGCCACCTACCTCGATTGCAATTGTGTCTACAAGACAAGCATCTCGTGCCAGCTCATCAACAGCTTTTTGCACATATGGAAGAAGGTACTCCCGCATACGCATCTCTACATGCTCTGCCCCTGGGCCGTCATTTTCCACGCGTCTCTTCTTCGCAGGCGGCTGTTGCGAAGCCAACTGAAACTGCTGGGTAGGATCTCCATGGTTATAAGGGGACGTCAAAGGCGTAACCGTCGTTGGCGTGTCGAGCGTAAGGTCGATGACGACTGGAACAGCCGTGGCTGTTAACGCGACACTCATTGGAGAAGTCACAATGACCGTGTCTTTCCTTCCCAAAGCGTGCCCAGAGCACAGCCTTGAGATGAAAAGACTTTAAACACGACGTTCCACTGGAAACACAGCGTCATCAGCTTAATATAATATTTAAAGTGGGACAAACGGCGCGTTTTGGTGGTGATAGTTCGCGTAGAGAGGTTGGTTCACACTGTGGTTAGCCTGGCGGAGGTAATAAGAATGGCAGGTTGCCTAAACCACTACTCGGCCTCTTAATTACCCGGGTAACTAAAGGTCCTAGCCGGCCGGAATATCTAAAACCCGATACCCCCTTTCCCCCAGCCGAATTCTGATAAGCGCTAGGCCTCAAATGAAATTAGAGAATGCTTCAGATACATGGTGAAGAGTTAACAGTCTTTCTAACTTTTTTGCTAAAAGTATCAATTGAACGAATTTTTACTACTAAACACTCAAATCTTACTCCTAACCATTTAGTCAACTATTAACCAGAGTCGCAAAACGTTTACTGCTCTTTATCATTTTTTAACTTCACAAATATGTGCCAGCACAGGATGCCTTGGCAAACAGTCTGACCGACGGGGGGGCCTTAACGACATCTCTATGCCTTGGTCCTTAAGAACGTCCTGCAATTACTACATATAAGAGGTGTTAGCCGACAACTAACAACTAGTAAACCGGATCTAGGCTTCTGAACTGGCCAAGCATTGACTATTAATGTCCATGTCGGGTTTCTAGCTTCAAGGCGCACTGTACGCCGCAGCGGGGTGGTCACCAGCTGATTGTATGTGCTGCCGGACCTTTCTCTACGTTCAATTGATTCAATTGGTGCGTCAGGCAGGCACACCTCTCTGGCACATCACACTAGCTACTTGCCTACTTGGGTATCTTAGTTGACGACTGAGCTCTCGAAAGCAAGCGCAAGCATGCCTAACTCGCGCCCTTACAAAATATTACAACTAAACCTAGTCGCGTATGGTTTTGAGCACATTTATATACAATTACCATATTGGGTACGACCAGGCACACGGTGTACGATTGGGCCCTACTTGTAAGTTGTTGCAGTTCTGGCACGAATCCTGGGATAGGCTGAAAAGAAAAACTTAATTAATAAAATACCTGTATTTTAGCTTACCAAATATGTAATTTCATGTCTAATATTACTGTTAGTGTGTGAATTAATTGGGTTGACGAGCCGTAAACATGACCACGTATAAACTGTGCACAAAGCGGGGCGGCCAGCATTAATTTATAGTCCCAACACGACGCTACAATACAATAACTACCTAGGTAGTATATTCGACTCTATTCTTTGTCTAATAGATATGTCCTCTTTATAACTGCGATTCTTTTCAAGATGCGCCAATGTAAAAACAAATAGAACCAAATAATTCCATGTCTCGGCCTTAAGTTTGCAGGTTCCGCGCTAAGCCGCCACTATAATCTAAAATGAACAATTTCTCCTTTTTACAGCTTCGCCGAGCCAGCGGGCTGGGCATTGTTGATTTCAGCGTACATGGCGTCGATTTCGGCGCGGTATTTCTTGGCGGCTTGGGGTCTTTTGAGTTTGAGACTATCATGGGTTAGTCAGCCATCCGTACTCCTAAATCAAAGGTGCGCTGCAGCAGGATGAAAACTTACGTCGGGGTGAGGAGCTCATTGTCAATTGTAAAGGGCTCAACATCCAAGTGAACGCCCCTGACTTTCTCAAAACTGTTGAATTTGTGCTTGCGGCCAATATTGTCAAGAACCTTGAGGAAAGCCTGCCTGGCCTTGGGGTCCTTGGCAGCGGCCCGCATGTCACTAGGGTCATTGGAGACCGTGCGGCCCAGGACCTTGGAGGCCCAGGCAGGGAAGTTCTCAGGGTCGACGCCAAAGATGGCAACGAGAGTAGACTCCTTGGCATCACCGTGAACATAACCCATGTTAACGAGGTTGGTGTTGGCAGCGTAGACGTTCTCAATACGCTCAGGGGAGATGTACTCGCCCTGAGACAGCTTTAAGACGTTCTTCTTGCGGTCAATGATCTTAAAGCGGCCAAGCTTATCAATCTCACAAATATCGCCCGTGTGGAACCAGCCATCAGCCTCAAGAACCTTCTTGGTCTCCTCCTCGTTCTTGTAGTACTCCTTGAAGATGGCAGGGCCTCTGACGAGTAGTTCGCCACGGGGATTGGGCTTATCGTTGACGGTGTAGTCGAACTCGGGGACGGACTCAAGGCACAGCTCGACGTCACCCATCGGGGGTCCAACGTTGCCGGTAGAGAAGTCGCCCTTCATCTGAACAGTGCCGGTGGCATAGGTCTCGGTCATGCCCCAGCCCTGCTGGAACGTGTTGGCGAAAGCAGCGCGCAGGAACTCCTGGACATCGGGGTCAAGCTGAGCACTTCCGCTGATCATTGTGTGAGCATTGTCTAAACCAACAGCAGCCCTGACCTTGCGGGTCCAGATTCTGTCCCAGAAGAAGTGGGTGTTGGAGGCCTGGCCGGGAGCAGCCTTCATGGCAGCCTTCTTGGAGTTGACGACATGCCTTGAAAGAGCGCCCTTGAAGCCTTCAGCCTCCACAGTAGCGGTGCGAATGGCCGAGTTGAATCGGTTAAACAGACGTGGGACGGAGATGAAGCCTGTGGGCTTGAGGATCTTGAGATCATCAACGAGACCCAAGACATCGCCACGGAAGAAACCAACGGCAGCGCCTTCTGACAGAGCAATGTGATCAATCAGGCGGCCATAAATGTGCGCAAGCGGTAGATATGACATGTGAACGTCGTTGTCCTTGACATGACCACCCAGACGAGCAGCGGCGTTGGCAGAAACAGCATTTCCGTGCGAGAGAACAACACCCTTGGGAGCGCCAGTGGTACCTGAGGTGTAGTTAATGGTGGCAATGTCATCCCAGCTAGCAGGGCGCATGGAACGGCCAGACTCGACGCCAATCTTCTCAACCTCGGCCATGGAGTAAATCTTAATGCCGTGCTGGGCCGCAAGGTCGTTCAAAACATCGGCCTTGGACAGTCCAGGAAGCTCACCATGCTCAAGCGGGTCCATGGATATGATGAGCTTGAGGGACGGAATGCGCGGTGCAAGCTTAATGAGCTTGGAGATGTGAGGAAGTGAGCACACAACGCTAGGCAGCTCGGCATGGTTGATGATGTACTCGGTAGCATCGGGGCCAAGAGTCTCGTACAGCGAGACAGTATAAAGCGATTGCGAGGAAGCACCGAGATCTGAGCAACGGCAAGCGATTAGATATATCTCACTCATTGATAAACTTGGTCAAAGACGTACCAGCGATTTGCCACTCGGGACGGTTCTGGGACCAAACACCAACACCGTACTTGTCCTTGGGATACCCGATGCGCTTATGGATCTCAACGATACCGGCGCCAAAGTTCTTTCTTCGCTCTGCCACGTCGCCGTACGTCATCCATTCGAACTTGTCTCCCCAAGTCTGGGTGGCGGAATTCCATTGGCGAGTGCCCATGCATCGCTTCTTGGGCCACTTGCGAGCTGAAGCCTCGAACAAGTCGTGTATAGAGCGCACATTGGGGTCAAAGGTGGTCAGAAGCTCTCTGTCGCGGAATCTCCAGCCTCTGTAGACAGCGCTGCGGCCGGGACGCTCAGAACCGGGGACGGGAACACCGTAGGGGGAGCCGGCGGGAGGAACAGCACCAAGCTCGACCTGGAGCGTGGCAGGATCTTGGGCAGGAGGCATTGTGAAGATTCCCAACCGACGGGCCAAAGAATGCCAATTGTGTCACGGGCGGGAGGATGGCAACGGGCAGGAGAGAGTCAAAGAAGGAGCACTTGAGACGCTGGGGGGAGGATGGCGGGGGAGGGTTCCAAGGAGGAAGAGAGCAGAGCAGCAACCGACTCTGGGGTAAAAAGCTGGGGGAGGGAAGGGGGAAGGAGGCGGAAGCTGAAGGTAAGTTTCCAGACACACGGCTAGGCGATGGCGGTTCGAGCCGATGCAACCGCGCAGACGCTCAATGGGGGCATGAGGCCGAACGCAATGTGTGGTTTTTACGGAGTGCAGCGTCGGTAGGTCGTCATCAATTGATCCATGTCCGTGATTATTACTGGCATGCTCTGGGCCGAGGCAGCCTGGTGCCGAGGCAGCCCCAGATTTCAATGTTGACATGAGCATTGGAAACGTGGTCAGGGGCCAGTGACAGCGCGAGGTTGGTGGCACAGGGGCACCGGGCGCAACAAAGTAGGCTTAGCTTTCCCATTGTCAAGTGATGCACATGTACTCCGTATGTACAGACGAATCAAGGCCATTTCCAACCTGAGGCTGGCAGCGATTCCGCCGGCGGTACCGAGTAGAACTCGTGGAGAGCGATGCTGTGGTGCCAGGGTTAGGGTTGAGCACTTGTCCCTCACATTTTGGCCCGTCCTGGCGCTCTTGCCAAAGCCCAGTTGGCATGCACCTGCTACATTTCCCGGTGAGTCTGGTGGCAATTCTAATGCTGACCTGACCTTCTACCAACAGCGCCCACGCATGCATTATTGATTCCATTAACATTTACCCCCTCAAACCATCCACGCCGCCAGCCACCACTTCAATTGTCCGCCAATAATTTGACGTGCAACATGTGAAGTGATACCAAGGACCAACTCGTGCCGCGACTTGGCATTGGTGGCAACCCATTGCGGACATCAGCACGAGACCAAGCCGCCACGGTGCCACTTTGATGGCCGAGATCGACGCCGTCTGACCGAGATCAATACGGCCCCTTCTTGTAGACTCGGTTGGCAGGGGCCCATCCAGGAGCTAACGTTATCCTGTGCGTGCTTGCACCCATGGGTGCCAACGCTCACTCAGCAAATGCCTCTTCCACGGGCGCAACATGTGATGCAGACGGAAGACGGACGACTAAAGACACACACAGGCACCTCACAGGCAACAATTCCATCGGGGTTCTCATGGCGGAACCGTAATCCAGACTTTTAGGGAGCTCAAAGGATGACCGACTACATTACTTGCTAGCTGTGCCAATTCAAACAGAGTCGACACTTTGACGGCCTGGTTGCGGGAGCCTTGGCAGATTTCCAGATTCCAGCATGAGCCAGAGTCTCCAGCTCCACCAAGTTAGAGATCGGAGAGGAGACTGACGACTAGACGGAAGCTTATTACCAGGCAAGAAACACGTATACAAAGCACACCAATAGCAATACCCAAACGATCGAGGACATGTTGCCGTACTGCGAAAGAGTAGCGTTCTCTGTCATCGTCATCTATTCCAGCAGAGTGATGCAACCCCCATGATTCAAGTCGAATTGTTGACAAGCTTGTGGCTTTTCCTTCGTAGAGGCATGGCAAAATCTTGTCGTGCTCATGCATAAAACAGACTCAGCTGTAAGTCTGATACTGTTACATGATAAATACGACGGCCAAGTATGGCCATTCTGGCAGTTGGGACGAGGATTGTCGCCGTTATTTAGAGCTTTCTAGCTAACAACAATGAAGCGTCTCGTATTATCAGTCGGCACATAGGCCATCGGCTGCGAAGGATGATGCAACCTCATCATGGTGGAACCATGAACATGCCCTCAACGTGTTTGCTGGGCTGCATGACAGGTACACGGCCACAAGTGCGAAGTGAGATGGATGTCTCGTTGGTGTTACTTGGTCATGGAGAGTCTACCGACTCTGCTTTATGTGAGCAGGCTTTGCAGGCCAGGCCCTAAAAATAGATGGCTATCAAGTCAAGCGCTTGGCTTCAAAACAAGCTCTCTCGATACCACCCAAAGTCTGAGGCATAATCACCTCGCCGACACCGTTTCAGAAGTTTGCAGCGGCAGCAGCGTGCTGCAAATTACACGTGGGCATTTGGACCAGACATTGGAGCTTTACACAGCGTCAATCGTATTTGAACATGTTTGTGCGGTGGCAGTTTGTTTTCTCGCGATGCACGACCAAGTCTGAGGCTCATGCCAGAGTCCCGGTGAGACGCCGAAAACGGCAAGTGTGATGCAAGTCTCGGCAGACGAACCCGGTCTGGTACAGACGACGATGGGAAAATAGAAGGAGGAGGAGGAGGAACGCCTCAATTACGAGCCCAGGAATACCGACAGAGACTCGACTTGCTTCTTCAACCACTTTGAGTCGACTTGTCCGCAATTACATGTGTCGACGAGGAATGTAGCTCATGACAGTTGTCCCCTCTGCCTGCGGCGAGCTGGTTTCTTCTTTTCCATGTTTCTACGGTCCCATGCTGCTAGTATATTGCTTAATTTGGCCGTGGCATTGTCGAAACCGGGTTCCACCCTCTTGTTTCAGACATCTTCTCGGGAGTCTCAGGGTCGAGCGTCATGTTGCAATGGCCCAACCACCCCCTCGGTAGCCAAGCAGCAAATGGCCCAAGGAGCCAATTTGATCCCGCAGATACGTAGCCAGGCCGGCTGTGCCGTCGAATCGAATGCATAATGGCTCATTTACCGCATTGGGGCGATCAGAGTGACGCAGCGACGATCCCCTTTTTGCACGGCCCTCCCACCGCCTCCTTGCTTGCAATCTGCAATATAAGACACCAAGACTTTGCGTATGAATGAAACGCGTGCGTTTGTAGACGTGTGTAGCATCCTTGGACTCGGACTTGGAGACCTCTTCTCGCTTTTTTGCCTCGTTTGATCCCTCATCTCTCATGTCTTTTCGTTCCTCTCGACATCGCATGTACGGCTGCCAAAGTGCCAGCATCACATCCACAGCAAAACCCTCGAACTGATCCCTTGCCCAGCATGAGCCGAGCAGGCAGTGTCTCTCTCCGGGCCCTCCAGGGCATCTTGGCCGTGGCCAATCTCGGCCTTTCTGCGTACGGTGCGTCATCAGCGCTGCTGGAGAGTCGGGGCATGACCGAATTGCTAACAGAACCGCGCAGTCGTAAACTGGTACCGGACGTCAACGTCTCAGTCACCAGACGGCTCCGTCAGCTTCCTCCTCGCCGCGTCCGTCATATCCATCTTGTCGATTCTGTACCTGGAGCTGGTGCCGCGCTTCGTCAGCCGACTCGCGCATCCCTATGCAGCACTGGCGGTCCAGGGGCTCAACACCGCTCTCTACTTTGCCGGCTTCATCGCCCTCGCCGTCTACGTCGGCAACCTGACCTTTTGTGAGGGCTCTGTCTGCAGGGCGAGTCGGGCGGACGCCGCTGTCGCGGCGGGTGCGTTTTGTGCGTGGATCGCGTCCACCATTTTGACGGCCAAGCAGATGATTGTTGGAGGCGCCGCGGCAAGGCAGAAGGCGGCACCGATGGGCAAGGTTTAGACTAGATTCCCGTGATATGGGGATTTCTGTCTTCAGGATGAAATTGGGAATAATTCGAGGCAATCTTTTACTCTTCTTGCGGGGACCGACGCGGCAATGCCATGGTTGGCATGGGAACACGGAAGGGGGAAGGGGATACCCTGATATACACGAATGGGGCGTCTTTATGGGTTTGATGAATTATACGGAGTACACAGAGATAGAACGGGTATGGAATTCGGCGGCGCTATTCGGGATATTTATCTATACATATCAAATGTTGAGTGAGTGAGCTTGCTTGGGCTCCGAGCATGTGTACAAGTTATAACGCGAACATGGGCAAGACATGGTTGTTTAAGACGCATCGTTTCTTGGTACGTGATGGCTTTTGACTGTATACATGGGTTGAGATACAAAGTATGTGTGTGTTGAGTACGAACTATGCAAAACCCAATATCTGTCCGGTTCAAGTCTTGCGGACAGCGAGTCTATGTCTATGTGCGATGTGATGATTAGGTTAGACAGTGACCGGGATATTCTACACAATGTCGATGCGTTTTTATAGTTATTTGACACAGAAACAGGGTAAGAAGCGATCGAATGGCACTGCATCTGAACCACTGCTGTTGTCTGTTGTAATACGGTTGCTCGATAGTTTGAGATGGTCAATTGTAAACATATTAGCTTAAGCATTCAATATTCAAACTTTCCTCTAAAGAAGATGTGGAGCAGCGTATCGCCAGACTCATATGAATCATATAGAGAGCCATTACCAGCAGATAATGTCTTCATCAGATCCGGGACTGATCCCTTCCTGACACCCCTAAATATGGGACTATCCGGTGGGCGCAAATTCGACCTCGACGGCTTCGAAGTGAATCCGTGCTCCGATCGGTAAGCGATAGCATCCCAGATTTTGTTTGAGAACCATGAGGGGAGTCTCATACGAGCCGCTGCGACTGAAATGCGCAGTTAGATCAAATACATCCTCATTGATTGCTACCCAAGAGACTTAACCCATTGGTTATTGGCATTTATCATGCCCTTTATGGTAAATACCAGAATGATAGCCAATCGTGATACCTCTGAATAAGGAACTGGACATCCATGGTAGGGACCGGACCGCTCTACAGCTAGAGTCCTGGAGCCCGCGGCCGGCATATCTTCTATTCTCTGAATAGTGTTTCATATTGGATTTGTTCTTGCCGTCGCATTGGACTCAGCCTGTCGAGCAAAGAAGATTGAAGCCGTCCGCTCCGGCGCACTTTCCGCTAGAGAACTGTAACTCGAGGATATATACCATTAATCAGCTTCCATCGTGTCAAATGTCTTGTGTAAATAGCTATCGTGCCTTACGAACCATGCAGGAAGCGTGAGTGCCAATTGCGTCATCTGCAGTGCCCCTCGGAGCCGATTTTGAGGGCGTAAGATCGATACTTGTTCATGCTTGTAATTTCATTTGACTACAGAGCGAAACAATCCAAACGTTAATTAGTGAGATCGAGTCTTGCTCCAAAACCGTCTTGATTTTGGCAAACGTCCTCCGCATGTGAGATTTCGATTCGATTCGCTGTCGTAGTTCTCAGATAGCTTCACCCAGCTCGTTTGCGGCTTGTTTACAATACCTCATGCTCAGGACTCCGGTGCGGATGCCCAAAACGGTGTTTCATCTGGTCTTCCATCACAGAATTCAGGGCTTCAATCTGATTTACTTGGATTTGGATACACCGAGGCAGATCTCGGACTTGCTCCCAAAAACCTCTTTAACGCAATGACCGTAGCTGCAACTTCGCCAAGTACAATGACATTGGCCACGAGACCGACTGCATCCGCCATGTTGACAGGGCAAATGGTCAGCTTACATGTAAATAATTTGAAAGGGTTTTATTTTTTTGGAATAAATATTTCGCAAAAACTAGGTGAGGCGGTTTGACAGCCTGGTGTCATCGGGAGGGGAGCAAGGCTGACATGCATGATATACTGGTGAAGAAGACCAATGGCGATGGAAATTAAGCGCCATAGGTGGTGTGACAAGATTGAACCAAGGGCTGAGCATAATCTTCTCAATATGATTTTCATTTGCGATAGTGTCGAGGAAAATACACGGGAGCAAGACCTGTTACTGCTGTGTATCAACCTTTCACATCGCTGCAGCGATGTGAAAAGACCTGATAATGTGCCACACAAATCCTTTGATGGATGCAGTCCTGCTGTAGCTGATTTTTTTCTTATATCTTATAAGAGGACTCATATCCTGCAGATTGTTCTAATTTGAAAGAAGTGAGATGTCAATGTGCTCATTTGGGGAGGATTAGACATTCAACGGGCCAGTCGGAGGATAAGATGACAACGCGAAGCCATGTTATATGTTTCAGTTATGTTATTCGAACAAAGTTCTGAATTAGTAGTCTTACAGGTCTTTGTACTCGAATACTCAGCGTTGATTATTTACGTAACGTCAGAGTTTGGAAAGGAGCATTGACCTGCGAAGCAGATAGAACACGAGTGCGGCTCAAGCACTATTTGACTCCAAGCCTGGAATCAGCAGATTCACTCTTTTGGATACATATGTCCTTCTATGTAGGTTTTGTTCAGCGAGGGTTTAACGGTAATGGAGAAGCCATGAATTTCCTATACCGCTTCACGGCCTGAGTAAATGGTCTGACTGCTTGTAGTAGTTGCATGGAAAGTGCTCAACAATGGGGACTAGAAGCTAGACAGGGTTGAAGACAGATCCAACTGCCTAGTAGCTAACAGTTCTATGAAATGAATGAAAGGTCAGTAAAGGATCCATTCTATTGAGCCAAATGGCCAACACACTGATACACACAACGTACCTGCCTAGTAGATACTTGGACGGATCAATTCGTCGCAACATGACCGATCGTAAACAAAAGCACGTATTAAAACTTATGGTCTTGTTAGTTGAACTACATGAGATTAAGTCATAGATAAGCAAAAGAGGTTACAAGGGTACTTACTAAGGCTGAACTATACAGATTAACATCATCATCTAGTGCTACCAAGTAGCAACATTTGAAGCTTATTAGTTCACCCTCATTCGACGCTCCACTTCCCATGCCTGACAGTACATTGGCATTGTTCTTTGCCTCATACTCATCGACGGGCGTCGGCGGACCCTTGGCAGCCGACAGCCTGCAAGACCCTTGCTTGTGCACTCTGCAACGTAGCGACACCGGCGATATGCAAGCTTCAGGCACACAGCTCAATGCTCGTGGGGTATCGAGTCTCGACAAAGGACGGCCACCCACCAATCGACAGCGATGGCGTGCGAGTTTAGCACACAGCCCAACCTCGGTGAGCGATGGCGTGCTTGATAGTACAGTAGGCTGGAGTTATGAAATCGAGCGGCGAGTAACTTCTCGTGGCGCTTCCAACTTCCAGTTGGTACCCCACGCCACGTCGACGTCCGACGCCAGGGTCCGAATCTCCATATTAAGTTAAGCACAAGGGTAGCAAATAAGCGTCGAGGAGGCGCAGATGTAGCTCGCTGCCGCCCGCAGCACTGGGTAGCATTTGAGCAGTTGGCGGTTTCCCTTGCGTAAGGCGTGTTTGCAATAACGCAATTGGCAGTCGTTGAGGACTTCGCGTGCTATGTGATGTGAAATCAATACAAAAGGGACTAGGGGCCTGCGGGCGTCGGTGGCCTTGATTGATTTCACGAGAGATCGGGCAGCTGCCATCCCCTCTCGTACCTTCCCCCTCCTTCAAGACCAAGTCAAGTGCTGCCAGCTCCCTCAGAAACCATTCCCCTTGTTCTCCTCACACATTGAATCTTTTCCTACGTGGACTTCCTCTTATTTCTCTCTCCTGTTGCCAAGGAACGTGAAAATGGCCGATTTGAGCCAAAAATTCGAGACACTGCAGCTTCATGCTGGGTAAGTAGGGATGGTTGCAACGGGGGGTGGTGAGACGTTGCACAACAGCTGATGTGGTTGTATATTAGCCAGGAACCTGATCCAACCACCAAGGCGCGTGCTGTGCCTATTTACGCAACTACCGTGAGGAATTTCTGGTCACGCCTTTCTATCTAAGTTTTGGAAATGAAATCTAACAAGGGCAGAGCTACACTTTCAATGACTCTGCTCATGGCGCGAGGCTCTTTGGCCTCAAGGAGTTTGGTAACATCTACAGCCGTATCATGAACGTGCGCACACCCTCCACACTCAGCTTCTTTGGAGAAAAGAAAAAGAACGTGAAAAAGTAATCTGCTAACTTTCTCCAAAGCCCACCGTCGATGTCTTTGAAAAGCGCATCGCAGCTCTTGAAGGCGGTGTTGCCGCCCTCGCCGCCTCCTCCGGCCAAAGCGCCCAGTTCATCGCCATCAATACGCTTGCCCACGCTGGCGACAACATCGTCTCAACGTCCAACCTTTACGGCGGCACCTACAACCAGTTCAAAGTGTTCCTGCCGCGTCTCGGCATCAAGACCAAGTTTGTCGACGGCGACAAGCCCGAGGACATTGCTGCCGCCATTGACGACAATACCAAGGCCGTCTATGTCGAGAGCATCGGCAATCCGCGGTATAACGTGCCCGACCTGGAGGCCATTGCCAAAGTCGCCCATGACGCGGGCGTCCCCCTGATTGTGGACAACACCTTTGGTGCCGGCGGCTACTTCATTCGTCCCATTGACCATGGCGCCGACATCGTGGTGCACTCTGCCACCAAGTGGATTGGAGGACACGGCACCACCATCGGCGGCGTTGTCGTCGATTCTGGCAAATTCGACTGGGGCAAGCATGGCAAGCGTTTCCCGCAATTTGTCGAGCCGGCCGAGGGCTACCATGGCCTCAAGTTCTTCGAGACCTTTGGCAACATCTCCTTCATTATCAGGGCGCGGGTGGAGATTCTGAGAGATTTGGGCGCCGCGCTGAACCCATTTGCTGCCCAGCAGCTACTGCTTGGCATTGAGACTCTGAGTCTGCGCGCTGAAAGACATGCCCAGAATGCGCTGGCTTTGGCTCAGTACCTCGAGAAGAGCCCTTATGTCAGCTGGGTCAGCTACCCTGGTTTAGAAAGCCATCCGTATCACGAGACTGCCAAGAAGTACCTCAAAAGGGGATTTGGTGGTGTGCTGAACTTTGGTGTCAAGGGCGGTGGTGCTGGCAGTCAGGTCGTGGATGGCTTCAAGTTGATTTCCAACTTGGCCAATGTCGGTGACGCCAAGTCGCTGGCTATTCAGTAAGTTTTTGATATTTCCATTTTTGCGTCTTCTTCATGAGATGAGTTGCTAACACTTGCAGCCCCTGGACAACTACCCATGAGCAGCTCTCCGACGACGAAAAGGCCAGTTCTGGTGTCACCGAGGTGCGTGTACATATGGGTGCTACGGTTGAGCATGGGCTAACATGTTTAGGATCTCATTCGTATCTCGGTCGGTATCGAGCATATTGATGACATTATTGCCGATTTCGAGCAGTCGTTCAAGGCCGCCGCGGCCGCCACCAAGTCATAGGCTGGATTTAGACTAGGGATGGACGACAGTGATGAGTTTGACTGGTAGTGATGCATTTAAACAAATAGAAAGAAAAAAGGAAAAAAACTGAAATTTCTAAGATTGGTCAAACATGTGTCCTTATCGAGACTGATGACTACTACTAGGTACTAGTAGGCAGGTGTTTTGTGAAATTTGAGAGACTGCTAGTCCTGCCATGAGCATCTAGGCGGGTAATCTGCACCAATGCGCGCATCACATACAATATTTAAAAAGAAAATACCAGCAGAATGACACAATGTAAATGCGCCTTCCAAACCGAACCCTTTCCAAAATCACCTTGATTGATAAAAATTTCACGTGCTCTACCGTCAGCATTAGTACTCCGTACATCCACGCATACGCCGTACGCGCCCACTGTGATTGGCCCACCAGCTCCAACAGACACACCTCACCTCAAGAAGCTCGCCCGTCCCTCCAACCTCACCACCGCAACACCAACCATCACCACAACCTCGCCGCAATGCGCTTCCCGGCCCTCGCTGTCCCGGCCCTCGCGGCGCCCGCCCTGACGGCCTCCATAACTCTGTACCTGCCACCCGTTCCCAACCCTTTCACACTCCCGGCCTCGACGCACGCAACGCTGTCCACGCTCGGCAGCGCCTTCTCGGCACCCATATCCGCCCTCAACACCTTTGTCTTCCACAACGTCACGCCCGGCTCGTACCTAGCCGATATCCACTGCAAAACAGACGGCTTCCGCCCCCTCCGCATCGACGTGGCCCGCGACGCCGACGGCAAAGAGACGTTCCAGGCGTGGGACACCTTCCGCGGCAACGAATGGGGCAACAAGGGCGAGGCGCTGCCCGTCAAGGACGGCAGCGCAGGATGGGGCGTGGAGGCCAAGAGCCTAGGCAAGAAGATGTACTTTGTGGACAGGCCGCAGTGTTAGTTGGCCCTTTTTTTTGAGCCTCTCCCAAGTCTTCTGCGGGCGAGCCCGGGCTAACCAGCGTGCCAGTTTCCGTGCTGAGTATTTTGAAGAACCCCATGATCCTGATGGGCCTCGTGAGCATGCTCATCTTCTTTGGCATGCCGAAGCTCATGGAGAACAGTGCGTAACTAACTACAAACAACTGAGCGGCGCGGCCGGAATTACTGACAGGAAGGCAGTGGACCCCGATTTAAAGGCCGAGTTCGAGGCGCGGCAGCGCGAGGGCCCCATGGCCGCTATGAGCGGGCAGCAGCAGAATCCTCTGGGGAACTTTGACATGGCTGCCTTCTTGGCGGGTTCGGGGAAGAAGGAGGGCGGTGCTGGTGCGGGGAGCGTCAGTGATGGGAGGAATGAGCCTGTCAGAAGGTGATTTCGCTGGCGGGAAGGTGTGTATATATTTCGGAGCGAAACCGCGGGGACTGGGGCATAGAGATGGGCAGAGTAATAGGGCCTGGCGTATGGATGGATACAAAGGTGGATGTTGTATCCGTTGACTTGTAGCCGATGTGGTTTGTAGGGGCCAACAGTGTACACGGGAACAACTGAGAAACGAAGTGACGACTATTGCGAACGACAATACTCGGCAGTTATTATTACACAAACATTCGCCTTGGGGCGGGGGGTCAAGATAGGTCGACTTCTATATACCCCACAACTATGCTACGCTCTAGAATAGAATACTTTCCCATACCCAAGGCCGTTCCTCATAAAAACCCCAATCCTGCTTAAAAGTCGCCGCCGTCGAAATCACCGCCGCCGCCGTAGTCATTATCCATGCCGTCCTCTGTAAGCATGTTAGCATTATCCTAAAAAAAAATGGGTGTAAGGAGACAGGCAAACTCACGGTATCCCTGATTATACTCGGACTGGTCATGGTCGTGAATAGCGTCGGCAATCAACGCGCCGCCCAAAACACCAGCGCCCAAACCCAAAGCACCGCCCGCAAGGCCCATTCCCATACCGCCCATACCACCACCGGGTCTCCTTCCCGGCTGCTGCTGATAACCACCTTGCGGGTATCCGCCACCGTAGCCGCCCTGGGGAGGATAACCTCCGTACGGGGGCTGGCCGTAGCCTCCGCCATATCCTCCCATGGGAGGGCCCTGCTGTGCATATCCGCCATACTGCTGAGGCGGCGGGCTCTGATAGTAATTCTGCTGCTGCTGGGGATAATATCCACCGCCGTAGTTGGCCTGCCCGCTCTGTGGGGTTTTCCCTTTGCCAAACAGCTTTCCTAAGAAGCCGCGATCTTTGCCCCTAGCATCGTCCCTGGGAGGCAGCTCGGTGGGAAACGAGCCTTGTGACTGTCCGGTTTGGCCCTGGGCATATGAATCGGCCGCGCCGCCGGTGGCATATCCGGCAGGTGGTGTCGGGCCCCCACGGGCCTTTGCATCCTCCTCGGCCTGAAGCTTCGCTGCCAGCTTCGCGTCTTCGTCCTGGGCTGAGGACGAGCCGGCGTGCTTGTTCTGGCCCGACCGGTCTTCGTAAGGGTTCTTCTTGGTGTCTGTCGGCGCGGGCCCATTGCCAGGCTCGTACCCCGGTGGGGGGTCATCGGGGGCATTCTCGTCGACGGGGAAGACGGGCGCGGTGGGTTTGTCCCATTGCGATTTCTTGGTGTACACATTGACATAGAACCTGGGGCAATCGCGTCAGCGTTGCACTCTCCAAGCAAGACGTGGATCGAGCCTCGGGGGTGAAAAAGGCGCAGCTCACCACTCCTTGTACTGGTCGTTCCAGCGTGCCACCCAACCGGCGGGTACCTCTGGAGCCTTGGGCGGCGGCGGCCCAGACGGGGGCGCGTAATCACTCATTACTAGAGCCAAAAACAAAAAAAAAATAAAGGATGGGGGGGAGGGTTCGGTTCTTTATTTTTTTTGGCGACCTGGAAGCGAAAAGGAACCCGTGGGAAGATATCGAATCGAACCGAGGGACTGGGTCGATGAGGGAAAAGGCAAAGCGCCGAGTGAGACTTGCGACTTAGTACTCCGTAGAAGGGGGGTCTGGTGGGTAAATCGATCCGGGGAGGGGTAAGTCGCGGATATGCCAAGAGCCGGGAACTTGTGCGCGCTCAGAGATTTCGCCGCGGGTTTGTATCTGACAGAGCGCAATTGAAAATATGGAAGAAGAAGAGAGGATCAAGGGGCCAGATGAGCCGGCAGGATTCCTGGACGCGCTTATGAATGAGAGGCCGCGCATGCAGGCAAGCACTTCGAGGAGCATGATCGGAACGCATCAGACGGACCCCGCGCACAAAGAGCCACAAGGAACCAGGCCAAGCAAGAGGGAGCCACCTCCGCTAGAAGACGATGCCTGTTCTGGAAAGGCTGTCGTCATACCAGGGTACCAGGCGACCCTTCATTGCTTGGCCCGGAGAGAAAGCTTCTACGGAACACTTGATGAACCCCTACTTGACACTTGCACTGCCACTCTTTGTTCCCCGGTCTTCAGGTCTGCAGGAGGCCTGGTCTGCAGGTAAGCAATACGCGGCTATCAATTGGTGACTGGAACTGCTGCAGCCTGTACCGAGTTGACTGAGACGCTTCGAACTGATCCCGCTGCCGCATATCCGACATGCCGCCCTCAAGGGCCTTTTCTTTTTTCAGCTCAAGCTGGCCGAATCGCCACCAACGTCGCCACACGGCGTGCAGACGTCCTCACTCCTCACCTCACTTGAACGCTTACCTCGGCCACTCCTAGCCACAGCCGCGCTGACGAGAATATTCCATCTCAAGTAGCCAGACTTGCCCCAAGAATCTCCGTGCGTGGCAAACTTGTATTCGTTCAAAGTGTGGCTGAGGCTGACGCAGTGCCCCCATCAACCTACGTGCTTCCAAATTCGTCCTCGCACGCAACGCAAATACTCATCCAGAGTCAGAGGCGTCCAGTCCAGTAGAAGAGTGTATATCATGCCTATCCCCTACAAAATTTCACCAAGCATCATCTCCCGCTTCTACCATTCTATCTTCCCCATGTATTTACAATATTCAAGACGGAAAAAAAAGACAAAACGCTAGTCAGTTCAAACATATCCCAGGTCCTCACCAATTCGCCGCTCCCCGAATAGATACGCCGCTTCCAGACAATATCGCCCATGTCCCCTCTCCATACGTTTCTCGCTGCCATAGCATATAAGAACCCCATCCACGATGCCACTTAAAATACCTTCCATGGCACCCATAACCGAGTAGCCAATAAAGCTGGCCATGATGCCCACCACATACGCGTAGGCTGACCCGCGGACGCCCATGCCGTCGGGTAGCTGGATTCGGAGCTGCTTCGCAGTGATAACCCACCCTGCGAGCCCGAGACCTGTTGCCATAATCAGTCGTGTAGCCACGAGAAGCAGCTTTGCCAGTCGATAAGGCAGTAGTCCGTTGGCTTGGCCACGAAGACGCAGTGCTCGGGGTGTTAGTGTCGTCGTGGGAATTGTGGGCGACACAATTTCCATTTGGTCTAGTCCTCTCGCCGAAACAGCAAGACTTTGCGAGTGAATGGCACCGTATGTAATTGTCAAAGGATTTGTAAGAGCAACAATCGGCGTGGGAATCCAGAATCCGGCCAAGTTTGTAATCGCTCCGCCGATCCGCCTGGGAAGAAACAGCAATGGCGCTCGAATCAACAGTGAGAGTAATGTAGACTGGCAAATGCTGCCAAAGATTATCGTAGTCGCATGGCCAAGAGCTGCCGTGACGATTTCTCGGGATGGCGTCGCGGGACCGGCATTGCGGTGGAAATACCACTGCGAAACCGTAGCTGCAGTTGTTGCACGGTGAACCGCATTGATGACGGAGAGAGTCCACATGTACATGAAGATAAAGGCAGCCCCGAGCCACCAACTTGACATTTGAATGACAAACCTCACCAGTGACTTTGAAAAGTAACCACCCATGAAGACGCGCGTGAACATGGCCAGCCAAGCCCACGTCCACAAGACAATCAGTGCAAGGCAACCAAACCCAATGAGGAGCAGACCTGAGTTCTGTGCCAGAATCTTGGACGAAAACTGCAAAATCTCAATGGCCTGCTGGATGGCCCGGCGGCCCTTGACAACCAGCCAGAGCCACAACACGCAAGATGCAGCGGGAACCAGCGATACCCAGCGCATAACGGAATCTTGGAAGCTGGATCCGTGTGTCCTTCCCTGGAATGATGAAATAAACGAGTACAGCGAAAATGACAGCATGATGACCGGCACTGCAATCAGAATTACGCTGACGAGCGGGCGAACAAACGATCGCAGCGCGGCAAGCCATATGAAAGATACGAATATGGCTACTACAGTGTCCACTGCCAGCATGTCAAACGACTTTTGAAGCGTGGCGTATATCGTGTCACCAACCGGACTCTTTTGCGGAGAGGTGTGCAGCCAAACCAGCACAAATGTCGACAGCATTCCCGCGAAGCTGATGAGATATATCCAAGCAAAGAAAGGGTCATGCTTGAACAACTCGCCCTCGGTCAATAAATTTCCTGGTTGGGCAACCTCGTATTCCAGCGGGTCATTCCTCCGGATACTGCTGACATCGGACTCTGTTGTAGATGTTCTCCTCAAGATGAAGGGTTCCCGTTCTGACTGAGACTTGAATCTTTGAAACGGTGGCGGACTAGAGTCGGTTGGTGCTTCACCTCCCAGTAAAGATTCGGGCGGATCTTCATCTCCTTCCTCCTGGGAATCCAGCCCGACATCGACCATGATCTTGCTCTTTGCCTGTGGATGACTGCCAGCATCCTGATGCTGCTCTTCGCCTGATTTCGAAAGTTCCTCGTTTTCTTCAAACAGTGTATCGCCGGCGAAAGGCGGTTTGTGCGAGCTCCTCGTGCCGTTCCAACTACTTCTGATGCCTCGGCTAAAGATGCGATCTTGATATGGATGGTCCACATCCCCCGTGCTGTCTTCAATAGATCCGCGACTATTGGCAGACTCGGTGCTCTCTGCAAGTTTGCTAGCTGCAGCTACCCGCCGGGACCTTTGCAAGGCAAACAAGTCTGCGGCTTCCCGCTCACGCTCCTCTTCGTCGTCGTCCTCCCGAAACTCATCGAGGGTACTGTGGAAGAGCGGGGCGTCTTGGGCTGCCGATATGCGCGAGGCAAATCCTATGTTACCAAACCTCGAGCCACTGCCGTTTTGTTGATAAGGATTGCCACCATATCCCCTCGATAGAAATGACCGATGTGTTGTACCTACCCTGCCGGCGTCTCGTTGGCTTCGGCCTGGCCTTGATGGCGGCCACTCGTTGGATCTGGGGTTATTATCGTTATCGCCCTGCCCAGCAAAACCCGAGAGTCTCGACTGTGACTGTGCCAAGAACCGTGACGCATCTGCGAAACCCAAGATTAGCTCCATCCATCACAACAGCAAGGTAAAATGGCCAATAACAAACATTCTGAAAACATGGTGCTGCGTGTCTTGCTTGTATCCCCTATTTCACCATCCACCCCCACAGGCCCCTAATGCTGTGAGGCCTTCTCCGACGACGAGTTTGACGAGTTGTGCCGTTGGGCAAACACGGTGATGGAAATGACCGATGCCAGGCCCGCCCCCGGGGCTCGAGTGCTTGAGGTGCTGGGCTCAAGGGCTGGATGCCGATGATGTGGAGTCGTCGTCTTCGACTGCGACCGCAGCTCCCGAGTAGTCTAGGTTGAGGGTATCGAAACAAGATGCAATAGCAGACGAGTAAGGCTTATGATGGAAGGTATCGAAGCCAAGGGAAAGAATAGAGATGATGATAACACAAGCGCCGAAAGCCGAAGCGTCGGGAGTTGTGGTCATGCGACGTGAAGCGAATGAGGTCGGGGCCCGGGGGCCCTGGGGTAAGTACCTACTAGTAGGCAGGATAAGTGACTGGACTGTCAAGGGGCCAGGCTGATAGGCAGATGGAATGGTGGATACCTCTGGCAGTTACCTAGCCCGGCGTGATGGTTTGGTAGGAACAAATGTACCGTGGTGTCACGAATTTGTGCCGTTTTGGGTGATGGCCAGGCGGTCAGCCGAATACGTCAGGCGGGGAGTCACACGCCCCACCGGCTGCTGGCCACTCGCTGCCAGCTGGACAATCACCAGTACTTCAGCACTTAAGCACCAGACTCGAGCACCAGACTCGACATGGGATGGACATGGAGCAGCCCTGATCACTGGAGGCGCTGGGGATCACCACCAGTGCTTTCAATATTCAATATTACAAATCGACCCTCGAGACTCCATGTCCCGCTGCGCGATTATTCCATTCGCAAAGCAGAATCAATTGATGTCCATGTGGCTTGGGCAGTGAAGCCCGTGAAGCCCGCGACGCCTGCGGCTCTCTGATCAGTGATGACGCTTTGTGCGCCGATCTGGAACAACCCGCAGTCTGTGCGTGAGGTGACATACCTTTGTACCTGGTAGTTATCAATTCAAGTCGGGAATAACAAGATCGAGTACTGCTCTTGATTAAACTCCATTCAACTCCAACCTGCGTCATTGACGGAAACGATTCCAAATGGCAATGCTATTCTAGGAAATCGTTGTGGGACGCCCCTACGCCTCAGTCGCCGGATGGGTTGCAAGGCGACCAGTATCTAACAAAAACCGATTCTCGAAAACGGTTAAGCTTATTTATTAGTAGCTGTCAAATCCTGGGACGCCCATCAGCCCAGCGGCGGCTATTTCGGGGGGAACGCGGCTGAGATGCTCTTCGTCCGAGTCTAGCGACGCCCGATTTGTATGGGCAGATTTCCTTGGGTGCTGATTGTGGAGGAAGCTGGGTATTCAGTGGCAGGCTTTGTTGCGCGTCGGAAATGCATAAATATCACGAGACGGGAGCTTGTCTGCGTC